TCTCATTGTATACAATACATCATTGTATGTGATATCTCATTGTATGTGATATCTCATTGTATGCGATGTCTCATTGTATGCGATGTCTCATTGTATACGATGCCTCATTGTATGCAATGCCTCATTGCATGTGATGTCTCATTGTATGCGATGTCTCATTGTATGCGATGCCTCATTGTATGCGATGTCTCACGGTATGCAATGTCTCATTGTATGCGATGTCTCACTGTATGCGATGCCTCATTGTATGCGATGTCTCACTGTATGCGATGTCTCATTGTATACGATGCCTCATTGTATGCAATGTCTCACTGTATGCGATGTCTCACTGTATGCGATGTCTCACTGTATACGATGTCTCATTGTATACGATGCCTCACTGTATGCGATGCCTCATTGTATGCAATGTCTCACTGTATGCGATGTCTCATTGTATGCAATGTCTCACTGTATGCGATGTCTCATTGTATGCAATGTCTCACTGTATGCGATGTCTCATTGTATGCAATGTGCCTCATTGTATACGATGCCCATTGTATACGATGCCTCATTGTATACGATGCCTCACTGTATGCGATGCCTCACTGTATGCGATGTCTCATATGTGATGCATGCTAGCATATTATGATATTACCTTGCATGAGGAAACTTTTTTTTTTCAAGGTTTACTATCCCTTTAAACAGTTGTTACAAAGTTTAGAATAAGAGTTATCTAAAGTTATATTAGGTTGTCTTTAAGATATGTTTGTCAAAGAGAGACAGAATATTGCCAAGCAATTTAACTCTATCAATGCCACATTTTCTAGGCCTCTTTTGCACTCCAAATTGATTTTAATGAGCTAATTGTATCAATATATCTCCCGTCTTCAGCCAGTTAGTAAACTTCTGAATCTCCTTGTTGAAAATGGACCATTAAACCAGAAGTATTTATAGAAGAGCACTCTGTGTTGGGATTGTCTTCGATTAGAGCTTTCTCTTTGTGGCCTAGATAGTTTCCTATCCCACACTTAGATAAGAACATGGTCTGCTGTAATGTGCCAGGGGGGCCACTCAGAATGCCCCGAGGAAGTGAGAGGAGCTCAGGAGAAAGAACAAGACATCATTGTGTATTCCTCCATCCTGGAAGAGGACCAATGGCCAATGATGTGCACATAAAATAACATACCGTAGTTAATACGAAATACAAATTTAAAAAAGTAAATTAAGGTGTGCGCTATACCTTTTTTTTGCAAATAATTTTTGGTCCACTTTGGGGTTCTCTGTGGCACCATCCTGCCTCATTTTGTCCCAGGGCTGTCTTCTTTTTTATTTGTATTCCAGTATGTATTCCTAAAAAGATCCCTTCTATTGCTCTCAGCTGCCTCCAAATCTCCAAGTATATTCTGATTTCCTGTTAGAGGGTGGCTGCATTCATTCTCTATGGTCCCGCTAAGTGCCCAGTCACCCTGGTGCGATTTCAGGTGCGATTGGCACCTGAAATTGCATCTAATGAATGTGAATGTCAGTGTCTTAAGTGGAGTTCCACTTGACCTATCAAAAAATAAAAGTCAGCAGCTACAAAAACTGTAGCTGCTGACTTTTAAAAACAGCCACTTACCTGTCCCTCGGTCCCGTGATGTGTCCCCTGCAGCTTGTTTCACCAGCCGTCCTGTATTCCAAGAGGCCGGCATCTTCAGTGTGGGCACCCGGCTGTGATAGCTTGCAGCTTCACAGTTGGATACCCACTGCACATGCCCGAGTAGCGCTGCGCTTCATGAATGGTCCTGTAGTCTTCTGGGACTTGTCACGTGTCCCAAAAGACTACAGGGAGGGATGGAGGACACCTTCTCTTTATGATTGCCTAGGCGATCAGACCGGAAGTGGGAGCGGGTACCTGTCAAATTCGGGTACCCGCTCCCCAAAGGTGCCAATCCTTAATGGGGAGCATTCCTTAAAGCGGAACTTCCCCTTTTGGGTGGATCTCCGCTTTAACATTTTCTAAAGTAGTTCTTGCATTACTTTTTCAGCAGTTTTGTTGCAATTTCACATACACAGATAATAATGGAAATCGCACTGCAAATTGCAAGAAATCGTTGAAAATCTTCACAAGTAGCAATAAAGTCTTCAGAAATCACACCTGACATCGCGCTGACATTGCACACAAATCACACAATTATAAATCGCAGCGGTGTGACCCGTGACTGAATGTAGCTGTCAAGAGTCAGCACAGAAGATAATGGGCGGACTGACCATTTGGAAACTCGGGCACTGCCTGGGGGCCCGGGGTCAGTAGGGGGCCCCATGAGATGCCCCTGGTATCTTTTTCATAGGCTTTTTTGAGTTTGGGCGAGGACACAGGGGCCCCATGATCCCCTATTGCCCGGGGGCCCCATGAGTTGTCAGTCCGCCCCTGCTTTAAAGTAAGATTTATTTACAGTGAAAAATATAACCACACACCAGCAAATAGAGAACATAACTGATAAGTGACCCACAAGAAAAAATGTCTAAGTAACAATAAACTAACAAACTTTCTATATACAATATGTACAAACTATATACAAGATGGGAAGCATGGGTAACAGGGAAATTCCAGGGATGCAAGGAAAGAGGAAATCAGGACTGGGTACAGGAACTAGGGGAGTAGAAATGAATCATCAGGGTACAGGATGCAAGGCTAGCTCAGGAACAGGATAAACAGGCATAAGGCTCCGCTCTCATTAGCGCATCTCCAAAGTCGCGTGATTTCCATTGTGACTTTGGAGTGCGACTTTGATGCGACTTTGATCTGACTTTATATCCACTGGACTAAAGTCACATCAAAAAGTCATACCAAATTAGTGCAGGAACTACTTTCAAGTTGCTGCAACTTGAAGTCACACATATTTGAATGGTACTCTTGGGAAACATGGAGTGCGACTTCTCATGTGACTTTGGACCCCAAAGTCGCATGGGAAGTCGCACAAGTGTGAATGGACTATAAGGATCTGGCAACAAAGAAGGCAATCAAAATACTGATGCATGGAGCAATGGCAGAGATGGGGCTTAAAGCGGAGTTCCACTCATTCTGTAAAAAAATAAAAGTCAGCAGCTACAAAAACTGTAGCTGTGAATTTTTAAAAAGCAGCCACTCAACTGTCCCTCGGTCCCACATTGCCCCCGCCACTGCCTGTTTCACCGGCCGTCCTTAATTCCTGGAGGCCGGCATCTTCAGTGGGGGCACCCGGCTGTGACAGCTTGCAGCTTCACAGCCGGGTGCCCACTGCGCATGCGCGAGTAGCGCTGCGATTCATGAATGGTCCTGTTGTCTTCTGGGACCTGTCACGTGTCCCACAAGACTACGGGGAGGGAGGAGGGCAGGACAACTTCCACTTCTGATCGCTTAGGCGATCGCAGCACAAGTGTGAGCAGGTACCTGTCACTTTCGGGTACCCGCTCCCCAAAGGTGCCAATCCTTCTTTAAAGCGGAACTTCCCCTTTTGGGTGGAACTGCGCTTTAAGCATTTTCCCAGCAGCTGGGACCAGGTGGAACTGATTGCAGGAACCTGGCAGCTGCTGGGAGACATCTGCTGGTGGTCACTGGAACTGCAGCTATCAGCTCAGAGAACCACAGTACCATCAGCAGGTGAACATGGTCCTTATAGTAGGAATGTAGCCACCCTCTCTTGCTCATCCCCAAGATGGACTATGGGAGGTGTAGTGTGCATAGCGCAGTGCACATGACCACAGCTAATGAACACTAACATTCTTTTTATATATATATATATATATATATATATATATTATTATTAGTGGCCAGGAGCGGACTGACAACTCATGGGGCCCCCGGGCAATAGGGGAACATGGGGCCCCTGTGTCCTTGCCCAAACTCAAAAAAGCCTATGAAAAAGGTACCAGGGGCATCTCATGGGGCCCCCTACTGACCCCGGGCCCTCGGGCAGTGCCTGAGTTTCCAAATGGTCAGTCTGCCCCTGTTAGTGGCAGATTCTCTTTATGTACTTGGTGACCAAAACCTACAGATCACAATTCCTCACCTTGATTCTCCATGCTGAGAAGACTTTCATTTGGAGCTTGTTCACACTAGCAGTTGGGGGGTGGTAAAACCTTGCGTTCGAGCCAGACTTTTACTGCCCCCCAACCACTTACCTCTGTAGCTGCCAAGGCAATGACCAGAGGTATACACATGCCATGACCGCAACGCCTTGTTTCCCGGCCGTGGGAGGAATTATACCCCTTATTTCTTTAGACGGGAGTAGTGCCTATTGAACGCAACCCATTCAATTGGGGTCACTCACCCAAGCACCCCGCAGCTGCGTGTAATGCATGCGATTGCAGAAATGTGGCAATCAAGGGGTTAAAGCAGCCAGTGAGGTGGTGATGCAATACCTGTAAAATGCTCGCTGAAGAGCAATGTGGAAAGCTCTTCAGAGACCAAAGCTCATGTGAACAAGTCCTTAGGTTCTATTTTGACACCAGGGTGGGTATCTAACTCCAAGGCCTCGCTGTCTATGAAAAGAAAGCACATGTCACCACTATGACAGCTAACCACTTGCCCTCCTGAGGATTTACCTCCCTTCCAGGCCATTTTTTGCGTTACGGCGCTGCGTTACTTTAACTGACAATTGTGCGGTCATGCAACGCTGCACCCAAATGTAATTTACGTCCTTTTTTTCACATGAACAGAACTTTCTTTCGGTGGTATTTGATTGCCTGTATTTTTTATTTTTTGCGCTATAAAAAAAAACGATACTTTTGGGCAAAAAAATATTTTTGACTTTTTGCTAATAAACATGTCCTGAAAAAAATTTTAAAAATCAAATTTCGTCATAAATTTAGGCCAAAATGTATTCTGCTCCATGTCTTTGCTAAAAAAAAATCCCAATACGTGTAAATTAATTGGTTTACGTGAAAGTATTAGCGTTTACAAATGGCGGTATAAGTACTTGAATTTTTAAAGTTTTTTTTATTTTTAATAGTAATGGCGACGATCAGCGACTTAGAGGGACTGTGGTGGACATTCTGACACTGGGGGGGAACTGACTTGGATTCACTGACATCCCAGTTACACCAATACAGAGATCAGTGCAAAAAAAAAGCACTGACACTGTACTAATGGCACTGGGCAGGAAGGGGTTAACATGAGGGGTGATCAAAGGGTTAACTGTGCTCTGGGAGTGTTTTACTTAGGGACCGGTGTCAGTGTGTTTCACTGTAAGCATACTGCTTTGGATGGCTGTGCTCTGCACAGCCATCCAAAGCAGTGTGATTGCACTGATAGAGAGGAGAACTCTTAGTAAACAAAAGAGTTCTCCCCGTTGGAGATTGTCGAAAATCACTGGGCGCCGGCGAGTAATCACCGGCCGAGACCTGGTGATTGACAGCTGCGGCCACGAATGGAGCCGAATGTAGGGCACACCTTCTACCCGGAAATGCAAACTCAGGTATATATACGTGATTTTGCGCACCCGTGCCGCCCTGTAGCAATATTTCTGCTATAGGGCGGACGGGAAGTGGTTAATCACATGATGTTGTTTACAAAACAAACCTCCCAGCTCAGCTGTCAAAGTGCCTCACAGAGAGAAAGGCAGAATGACATCTGAAGCTGGAAGGCTGCGGCTCTTGAAGTTTAATGCTGACAGTAAAAACATGAACTTACTGATTTTAAATGTTAAAGTGATACTAAAGGCTTAATTTCTCTTTTTTTGTTAAATACCTGCTGTGTGCAGTGGTTTTGCAAAGACCAGCCTGGATCCTCCTCTTCTTGGGTCCCCCGTAGGCTCTCCTTGCTCCTCCCTCCTGTAGGGTGCCCCCACCGCAAGCAGCTTGCTATGGGGGTACCCGCTGCTCCATGTGTCCATTCACACACAGAGCCCCACCCCCTCACTCTTCTTATTGGCTCTCATTGGCTCACTAGCTGTGATTGACAGCAGTGGAAGCCAATAGCTCCCGCTGCTGTCTCAGCCAATGAGGAGATGGAGTCTCGGGATAGCCGCTACTCCAGTGTACATCGCTGGATCGAGAGAGGGCTTAGGTGAGTATTAGGGGGCTGGAGGGATGCTGCACACAGAAGGGTTTTTACCTTCATACATAGAATGCATGAAGGTAAAAAAAAAACCTTGAGCCTTGACAACCGCTTTAATGAAAAAATTAACAAAAGCTGGTAATTGTAATTTACATTTTATTTGCCACTTGAGCTCCAGAAGATTTTACCCCCCGTTATGACCAGGCCACTTTTTGCAGTTCAACACTGCACTACTTTAACTGGCGATTTCGCAGTCATGCAACGCTGTACCCAAGCAAAATTTATATAATTTTTTTTCACACAAATAGAGCTTTCTTTTGTTAGAATATGATCACTGTTTTTTTTGTGATATAAACAAAAAACAATATTTTTTACTTTCTGCTGTAAAACATATCCAAGAAAATTGTAAATTCAAATTTCTTCATAAATTTCAAAATGTATAATGTGCATTCGGGAACAGGTTAAACAATTTTGTCTATCTCATCTCAGCCAGCAGTAGTATAGGGACTCCCCATCTGCTGCAAGTCATTCATAGGGGTTTTTCTTTATTTTACGCTTAGTTGTAAACCCTTATATATACCCAGTGAAGTGCGTGGCCTCAGGTGATACACAGAGAGAAAACAAATCCTCCTACTTAAGTTGTACCTGTCTATCTGCAGTCGTCTCTTCTCTACATCCATTCAATGTGCTACATTTATAAAGCTTGTCTGAGAGTTCAGGAAAAGGGGTGGAGAGCTGATATTACACTCTGCAGAGCTCAGTGAGGAGAGCTCTTAGAGCTGATTGGAGGGAAGAGACAAACCCCCTGCACACAGCTCTCAAGAACAGAACTGAAGCTGTCAATCTGGTGGCGCTCCTTCCCAGTCACCTTGGTATCAGGAAGATTTGTCAGAAGTGACTCATGCTGATAGCAGAGGAACAAAGCATCAAACAAAAATGGCACTTAGTGCTCTGGATTGAGACAAGTATACACTATAGAGGGATGTGCTTTGTTCATATTTCATGTCTGAGGTTTACAACTGATTTAAGCCTACAGTGTACATATGGTATGGTTTTATTCATTGTGATAAAGTTGTAATAAACTGTTTTTATACATATTGTTTGTCTTTGAACCGTATCTGGTGCCATTAAAGCCCCACGTGCCCACAATATTTTTTCTTGAATAGAATATTTTGGGAAGTCGGCGCCTGCATGGCCTCCTATCACACCTGCTACCATTTGTTATATTACATATAAATGTTGTTTAAATTAAATTATATTACAATTACTACAACGTATTACAATTACCTGTATTAAAGCTGAACTCCAGGCAGATTTAAAAGGCACACACTAATCTGGCCTATTATTACATGTGTTTGATTTAAGTGTGAGCATTGTAGGTTCCTGAATTCGACCTAGTATGACCCACATGGATGAAAAATATATTTGAAATATATTTTAAAAATATTCTTCCCAAATATATTCACATATATTTGAAATACTACAATTTTGGCCATATTCAATATATTTCAAAATATATTTCAATAAATACATATATATATATATACTATATGTTGAAATGTGTTTTTATTACAAAATATATGAAAAATATTTTTAAAAATACATTTCAAATATACTGTATGTCTTTAAAAATACAAATCTACATTTTTTGAATGCATTTACAAATATATATTAAAATTACTTTTTTATATGTTAAAAAAATTGGAAGAATATTTTTTAAAAATATTTTTTTTAAATATATACTTCCGATTTTTTTTAACATATAAAAAAGTAATTTTAATATATATTTGTAAATACATTCCAAAAATGTAGATTTGTATTTTTAAAGACATACAGTATATTTGAAATGTATTTTTAAAAATATTTTTTATATATTTTGTTATAAAAATGCATTTCAACATATAGAATATATATATATATTTATTGATATATATTTTTGAATATGGCCAAACTTGTAGCATTTCAAATATATGTCAATATATTTGGGAATATTTTTAAAATATATTTCAAATATATTTTTTTTCCATGTGGGGAGTTTCTTACACTCCCTGTACAGCAGAGCTCAGACTGGAGGAGGGAGATGTTGCTCAAGGAGCAAATTAGTTGTGCTACAGTTCAAAGAGCAAGCTGATATGAGGTAAAAGCAGAGAGACAAAGATGAGCTCATTAGTCTACAACTGTTTCATTTACAGTCCAGTCACAGGGGGAGAATGGGGAGGTGACCTGTAAGTGAATGTGAAACTGCAGCAGGAAATGGGTGCTGTGCATCAAAGCTGTGCGCATCTCAGGTCTGGATGAACAGAAATACCAATCTTTTGCCATGGACTAGAAAATATAACAGTTTGCAAATTCTTAGTGCCAGGGGGCAAATACCAAGGTAGGCAAATGGGAATTTTAGGCTTTGAAATTTGCAGTGCATTTAACATAAAATGCAAAATTAGACTAAGGGCTCATTCACACTAGCGTTGCATTCATATCGCTCTTCAGAGGGCATTTGAACCCTTGGACCCCATGTTAACGTGTTTCTACTGCATGTATTGCATGTGGTTGCAGGGCAGTCACAGAGCAGCAACATTCACATAGGTGGGTGGTAACGACAGGGGGTATAATTCCTGCTGTGAAACAAGACATTAGTGGGCAGGGGCGGACTGACCATTGGGAAACTCGGGCACTGCCCAAGGGCCCGGGGTCAGTAGGGGGGCCCATTAGATGTCCCTGGTACCTTTCATAGGCTTTTTTGGGTGTGGTTTTAGTATGGGCAAGGACACAGGGGCCCCATGATCCCCTATTGCTCGGGGGCCCCATGAGTTGTCAGTCCGCCCCTGTTATGGGTTTTCTTTTACTAAAACTGAAGAATTCAAAATCAGGTGCAGCTCTGCATAGAAACCAATCAGCTTTCAGGTTTTATTGCCAAAGCTTCATACCCCGTACACGCGATAAGAAAATAGTCCGAACAATTTTGCGGAACCACTGATTGAACGATTTTTCTCTTCATTGGTGAGTAGGATGTTTTAACCGATAACAATATTGTGAACGAAAAAATCTATTTGAACAACAATGAAAAATGTTGTTGTTTCGCATACAAACGACCGATTTTCTATGCAGTGGTATGACGGTCGTACGAAAAAAAAAAAATCAAGCACTATCACGCATGAGCGGAAACAGAAGATGACTCGGATGTTTATGTCCAAGGAATCTTCGTAAACACGAACGAAAAATCCAAATGTTAAAAGTAGATTGGCCTAATGAGATCATGAGACCAGAATTCTGCATATTATATTTTATGTATCACTATTTATGTATATAGGTCATGTAATAAACGATATTATATTCATTGCTGGTAATTGTTGTGTATATCGCGCGTTCTGCCCGGAAGGGCGTGGCTACAAGGTCACACGCACACCGCATCACTTCCACTTGTACGGAAGACGTCAACACTATGTATTGCCCGACGAACAATTTTTTTTAGATTGGTTAATGTGGGCCACGACAGGGGCGGGCTGACAACTCATGGGGCCCCCGGGCAATAGGGGATCATGGGGCCCCTGTGTCCACGCCCACACCCAAAAAAGCCTATGAAAAAGCCAATGAAAGGTACCAGGGGCATCTCATGGGGCCCCCTACTCACCCCGGGCACTCGGGCAGTACCCAAGTGCTCGAATGGTCAGTCCACCCCTGGGCCATGATTTCAACCAACAAACGAACGCCTCTAGGTCGATTTTCTAATCATGTATTCCCACCTTCGCTGAACAAGCTGAAGTTAGAAGCTGATTGGCTACCATGCACAGTTGCACTGGATTTCTGTGTGCTCCAGTTTTAGTAAATCTCCCCCTATGTCTGCAGCATGTGTACACCCCTGAAGAGGGAGCATTTTTGAGGGGCAAAATGGTGGCTCAACTGCAGAATTTTGATTGCCCCCCAACCACTAGTGTGAACGAGACCAGGGAAACACCATACACGTTACAATCTGACAGTGCAATCTTTGTACAATCAACTTTAGATTTACAAAAACTATGGAATATCAAGACCTACCTAAACTATCTAAACAATTTAGAAAGACCCAGAATTATTGGTAGATCTAAAGGATCTAATGGAGATTGTACAATCGGATTATAACATCAATAAGTGATGGGCAGCATGATGACGGCTCATGAGATCAGAATCTTCTCTTGCAATTTGTTTCATTCATTTGAGGACTTATATGGACTTTTTTTATGACGTTTATATGCTTTTTAATTAGTGCTGCATTTTTTTCTGTTTACAATCATAGGGTAAAATCGGGCAGTGAGGAGGTGACATTTCACCTCCTCATCACCTGTCAAACACCTCTGAAA